AAAATGAACGGTTCAGATCATCAAAACATGACCTAAGGTAGACTCTACAAATCTCTCAAATTCTCTCAGGTTGATAGGTTAAGATATCAACCTGAGAGAATCTCAACCAAAAAAAAAAAAAAAACATACAACTAAAATGAAAGACGAGAGACAAAAGATTAAGAAAATACATATTTTAGAGATAAAAATAAAACAAAATACATATTTTAAGAAAAAAATAATACTACAAATTGCATACTTTGAGACTATCTTAATTTTGTTGATATTTCATGGAAAACTTAAAAATATGTCTCATCCACATAGGGCTGCAAACGAGCTGAGTGGAGCTGAGTTTTAGTATGTTTGGATTTATTTATTAAGATTTTAAAGAATTCGAGTTCGAACTCAATAAAAATTTAATGAACCGAGCTCGAGTCGAGCTGGTTTAGACTTGACTCGAGCTCGAACATGTTCATGAGCCTTAACGAGCCAAAAAATTTATAAATTCATATTTGCATATGAGACTAAAGTTACAATTAAAATTTTGATTATACAATTATACATACAATATATATAAACATTTACATTTATATCATAATAAATATTTACATTTACATATATATAAACATTTACATTTACATATATATAAACATTTACATTTACATATATATAAACATTTTCATTTACATATATATATATATATATATATATAAACTCAATATTTTATCAAAATAATAATATCTACTACCATTATAATATAAATGTAGCTGAACTTTAAAATGGCCCCGTTTGGTAGCGGTGTGGAAAAGTGATTATAAATTATAACTTAACAGATTATAACTTATAGCTGTGAATATAAGCTGTTAACTTGTTTAGTGCAGCTGTGGGATTAATGGATTTAAGCAGCAGAGTAGTGCTTGGTTGATAAGCTGTAAAATAATTTTTTTTCTGTATAATTGACCTTTTTGCCCTTATATGATATAAAAATGATAATTTTGTCATTTTTTCAGTTTTAATTTTAAAAAAATTATTTCATTAATAAAAGTTAATATAATTAGTATTACATAAATTATTATTTTTATTTTTTCATTATAAATTAATTAGTATAAAATTATTTCATTTTTTCATTATAAATTATTTTCATTTTTTCATTATAAATTATTTTTTTCATTTTTCATTATAAACTAAGGCTTCGCGATGAACCAATGCCGGAGAGAGAGAGAGAGATGGAGAGAGAACAACTTGAAATCTTAAGAAATCGTTGCCGGAAATTGCCTCTCTCTCTCTCTCTCTCTCTCCAGACGTGAACAGTGTTTTTTGTCAAGTTTATATAGTGGTATTTTGATAGTTTTTGAATTTTTGAATGGGCATTTAAGTCATTTCATCCTTCCACAACCAACTGCGCGCATAAGCTAAAAAGAAAAAGCACCTCTGAGGCAGTTTACAACTTTTAGCTCAAAATCAATTAATTTAAGTTATAATCTATCTCTCATAAGCTTAACCAAACACTCCAAAATGACTTATTTTAAGCCAAAAGCTGTTTAAGCTGTTTATGGGGGTGTTTGTTTCAGCTTTTCAGAGCCAACTTATGACTTTTAGCTTTGAAAAAGTTATTTTGGACTGTTTGGTTAAACTTATTTCAAACAGCTTCTGATTCTAACAGCTTATTTTAACTCAAAAAAGCTGATTTTGAGAAGTTGCTCGCCCCTTGCTTCTGATTATCAGCTTCTGCTGTGGACATGTTAATTTATGATTATACTCTTAAATTTTTTTATTTTTTATTTTTTTAAAAATAGAAAAAGACTCAAATGGATTATAGATTATTATTATTTTTTTTATGAGAAATGTAGACAAACAAAAAATAAAAATTAATTGAAAAAGCTATTTCACAGCTTATTTAACAAACACTACTTAACAACTTAAATCTATAATCCAACAGCTACACCAAACAGATTAACAACTTCTGATTAAAGTCATAATCTATAATCTGTTAAATTATAATCTATAAGCTGTTTTAATAGTTACACCAAACAGGGCCTATAAACTGTGCCAAACAGGCACAATGTTTGGGTTTGTTTATTAAAAATTTAATGAGTTTGAGTTTGAGCTCGAACGCTAAAAAAAATTAACGAACCGAGTTCGAACGAGTTCTTACCGAGCCGAGCTCGAACCTGTTTACGAACGATTTTGTTGATTTGTAATCCTACATCGACATATTGATTTTGGATGCACTAACATCAAGAATTAAAATGTAATAAATTGCATAAAATTAAAGATGATTAAAATTTTTTAGTGAATTTAAAATAAAAATAAGAACAAACTTTACGCTTCAGGTTCTACTCTATTAGACGGATCAAAAAAGTATTTTTTTTTTGATAAAAAAAAGTATACTAAAGACCAATTTTTCTTTTTAATTTTGTTTTATGTTAATAAATTATTTTTTTTTGATTTTTTTTTTAAAAATCTTATTGCTTTTCAGATCCTTCTAGGTTAAATACTCAAAAAAATAAAATATTTTGACACATTTTTTTAAAAAAAGAAAAAAATGTGATTTTTTAGGAAAATTATTATTTAGTGAAAAAATGTGTAATATTAATTATTAGTATTTATTACTTTTACGTAAATATTTTTCACTAACACCATGCCAATAATTTTTTTTTCTTTCCCCAAAGACTTGTATTAATTTTCTTTACAATTACGATAAATCAATATTAATAAATTACAAATATATCTATTAAGATTTATTTAAATATGATTTACAATTTTAAAAATTACATCCCGTTATTTAAAATTTTTAATTTTATAACAAATGACTATTTTTATTAATAAAATAATAAATTAATTAATAATTTTTAATGATGTCAGAAATTTATTTTAATTAATAAATAAAATAATTTTATTGTTGTATAAAAAAGTAATTAAAATTTTATTTTTTTAATTAATTTTATTTGATAAAGAAGTATTTTTAATGTTTCAAACAACAGGCCATTCATATTTTACGTAACTTTCAAAAGTGTATTTATAATTATCTAAAAAAAAAATTTATTTTATAATCGCAGAAGACGCCTCCACGAACGCTGCCAATATTTGCTCCGACACTCCCTCCACTCACTCTCTCTCTCTCTCAAATCTCCGTAAACGCGCAATGTTTAACCACCTCTTTTAAGAGTCTCATCGCTCTCTCTCTCTCTCCCTCTTTAGAGCTACTTCTTCTACCCCTGCAACGTTACAGCTTCGTCGCTTGCGCTCGAATGTCGAAATCCGCATTGCGCTTTCTCTCTCTCCTGGACACACCTCGTGAGTCGTGATTTCTGTACTTCCACACTTCTACATTTTCCAGGTGATTTTTTCCCCTTTCTCTTCTATTTTTTCTGTGAATCTGCTCGAACTTGAGCCCAATAAAAATTTAACGAACCGAGCTTGAGCCAATTTGACTTAAGTTTGACTCGAGCTCGAACTTGTTTACAAGCCTTAACGAGCCAAAGAAATTATAAATTCATACTTGCATATGAAACTAAACTTACAATTGTAACTTTGATTATACAATTATACATACAATATATATAAACATTCTAAAAAAAAAACTCAATATTTTATCAAAATAATAATATCTACTACCACTATAATATAAATGTGCTATCTATAATTAACTATTATTTACATTTACATTTCTTAAATATATAAATAAAATATTTATCTTATTTTTTATACATATTTTTACATTATTTAATAAATAAATAATAAATATTAAACGAGCTAGCTAACGAGCTGAATTTTAGAATGGCCCCGTTTGGTAGCGCTGTGGAAAAGTGATTATAAATTATAACTTAACAGATTATAACTCAAAGTTGTGAATATAAGCTGTTAACTTGTTTAGTGCAGCTGTGGGATTAATGGATTTAAGCAGCAGAGTAGTGCTTGGTTGATAAGCTGTAAAATAATTTTTTGCTGTATAATTGTCCTTTTTGCCCTTATATGATATAAAAATGATTATTTTGTCATTTTTTCAGTTTTAATTTTAAAAAAATTATTTCATTAATAAAAGTTAATATAATTAGTATTGCATAAATTTTTATTTTTATTTTTTCATTATAAATTAATTAGCATAAAATTATTTCATTTTTTCATTATAAATTATTTTCATTTTTTCATTATAAATTATTATTTTCATTTTTCATTATAAACCAAGGCTTCGCGATGAACCAATGCCGGAGAGAGAGAGAGAGATAGAGAGAGAGAGAACAACTTGAAATCTTAGCCAGAAATCGTTGCCGGAATTCGCCTCTCAGGCCATTGAAAATCGCCTCTCACGCTTTCTCTCTCTCTCTCTCCGGATGTGAACAGTGTTTTTTGTCAAGTTCATATAGTGGTATTTTGGTATTTTTTGAATTTTTGAAGGGGCATTTAAGTCATTTCACCCTTCCACAACCAACTGCGCGCATAAGCTAAAAGAAAAAGCACCTCTGAGGCAGTTTACAACTTTTAGCTCAAAATCAATTAATTTAAGTTATAATCTATCTCTCATAAGCTCAATCAAACACTCCAAAATGACTTATTTTAAGCCAAAAACTAATTTAAGCTGTTTATAAGCTGTGTCAAACAGGCACAATGTTTGGACTTGTTTATTAAAAATTTAATGAGTTCAAGTTTGAGCTCGAATGCCAAAAATAATTAACGAATCGAATTTGAACAAGCTCTTACCGAGCCGAGCTTGAACCTGTTTACGAACGATTTTGTTGATTTGTAATCCTACATCTACATATTGATTTTGGATGCACTAACATCAAGAATTAAAATTTTATTTTTTTAATTAATTTTATTTGATAAGGAAGTATTTTTAATGTTTCAAACACCAGACCATTCATATTTTACGTAACTTTCAAAAGTGAATTTATAATTATCTAAAAAAAAAATTTATTTTATAATCGCAGAAGACGCCTCCACGAACGCTGCCAATATTTGCTCCGTCACTCCCTCCACTCACTCTCTCTGTCTCTCTCATCTCCGTAAACGCGCAATGTTTAACCACCTCTTTTAAGAGTCTCATCTCTCTCTCTCTCTCTCTCTCTCTTTAGAGCTACTTCGTCTTCTACCCCTGCAACGTTACCGCTTCGCCACTTGCGCTCGAATGTCGAAATCCGCATTGCGCTTTCTCTCTCTCCTGGACACACCTCGTGAGTCGTGATTTCTGTACTTCCACACTTCTACATTTTCCAGGTGATTTTTTCCCCTTTCTCTTCTATTTTTTCTGTGAATCTGTTGAATGTTAAACCTTTTTTTTTCAATCTTTTGATTATTCTTTGTACTGGTGAACTATTTCGGAACGGTGTATGTAGTTTTGCTTCAATTTCGCTGCTTTCATTTCTCTAGTGTTTTGGTCCTGCATTTTCCATTTTCTGATTTTACTCGGAGATTCAGTATTTTACGTGTAATTTTGTGCTGTTTCCATTCTGTTTCTTGCTTAATTTCTTGATTTATCAAATATTGCATCATTTATTTATTTATTTATGGCTGCGAGGAGGCATTTTGTTTTCTTCTTTCTCTTTCTCTCATTATTATTATCATTAGTTTTTGGATTTTGGATTTAATTATACGTTTTTTTTTTCTGAACTCTTTGAAATTCGTGGACTGTAACCGCTTCTTTAGTAAGATATTTTGCTTCTCTCTCTCTCTCTCTTGTAGTTAATTTTAACATTTATGCATTTATCGAAAATATATTTGAAATGTTATTTGAATTCTAGTATTCCTTGCATTCTTGTACTCAACCTTGGTTAATCTTAGGTTAATTATTTATTTATGCATTTATTAAAAAATATTTTTGAAATGTTATTTGAATTGTGGTGTTGTTATATGATCCTTGCATTCTGGTACTCAACCTTGAGTAAAATCTTAGGTTAATTATTTTGCTTGATTATATCAATGCTTATACTTGAGCAATGTGGCAGAGATACATCTCTCTATATACACACACTCACATTTGAACGCTTTTAGTTGTATTTCCGTGGTTTTGAGAAGAAACTAGTGTTCTTAAACAGTAATAAACATTCGCTATTTGGTTTCAAAAAATCAGGGTTCTATCTAGTTTTATCATATTCTGTTTGGTTACCCACTTTTATTATAATCTTGGCATTCTTTTTAGTTTTTCCAAGAAACATTGTTGGCTTATATGGATAAGCATTTGTTATGTAACCTCACAAATAACGCAGCTTTCTTTTGCTACCATTTTCAAATTATTCTTATGTGTTCAATCTGTGGAAAAGTTTGTTGGTTTTCTTGCTTTTGATCGTAACTTATGCTTGCTGGAATTTGGAAATATGTGACAGGACTGAAGCATTTTGGGCTCTAACCATAGTAGAAGACTAATCAGTTGCTAAATGGAGCAGTACGAAATACTAGAGCAAATTGGGAAGGGGGCTTTTGGCTCTGCCGTTCTTGTGAGGCATAAGGATGAAAAAAAGAAGTGAGGATAATAGTGACATATTCTTCTTTTGCTATTGTTGTCTTCGAGCCATATATCTGTGTTATATTAAATATTAATGAATGATGAAAAGATGAATCATGCTTTATTTATATATATATATAAAACTTTTTTATGTGCAATTGGTTTGATCATTTCCCTTATCCAAATGTTAAGGTATGTGTTGAAAAAGATTCGTCTTGCACGCCAAACTGATAGGACCCGTAGATCTGCGCACCAGGAGGTTGGTAATTTTTTTTTCTTTATTATTTCTGCGTTTGTATTGTCATTATTCTTTTTGAAATGAATTACAAAAAAAAAAAAAATGAAATGAAAAATTTGCTATTAATAATAATAATATTATTATTTTTAATTGGTTTAAGGTGAGTTTTTGTTTTTTTGGATCTTTGGAACAGTTGTCAAATTTATTAGGGTTGGTATAACAATATTTAAGAACAACTTTATGTTAAATTGTCTGGTATAAAAATGAAAAAAAATTTACTCTAAAATGGGAAGTTAAATTCACTAACTTACAAAAACTACCAACACTTTATAAAGTGTGTTTATTACAATAAAATATAGAAACCTAGGTAAAATATGCTTGGAGAATTAATTAAATGTCAAATGAAGAGCATTTATAAGTGCTATGCACACAATTGCGCATACTTATCATTAATTAGCATGTAGACATTTATACTTCAGCTGGTTTTGCAACATGCTGAACTTTTTCTGTGGTGTTTATCTAGGACATTGTCAGATTACTAGAGTAGAGTACAGACTAATATTTTTCTTTTTCTTGCACTATGTAGATGGAGCTTATTGCCAAAATGAGGAATCCGTTTATTGTGGAGTATAAAGATTCTTGGGTAGAGAAGGTCAGCAGATATTATATCTCTTATTATTGATGTTGTTCGATTGACATTGGTATTTTCTTTCATCCTTTGTTTTCTGATGGTCTAATAGGCTACCGGAATGTCTCTATTCTATTTGTTTTTGTTCTTTCCTTCCTGTTATGCTGATATTGCTTTAATATGCTTCATTGTTTGACCCAGTTGATCATTGGTCTTATCATTATGTAACTTTACTACTTAAATGCCATCATTTATGGATACTTCTCTCTCTCTCTCTCTCTCTATATATATATATATAAATATAATTTTGTGTAGTTCTCTGAATCCAACATGTGTTTTCCTCTGCTCACCTAGATTATGAAAGTTTTGAGAAGCTAATTAAGCAATGTCATGAATTAAAACTGTTACAGTGACTTTCCTCTTTTATTTATTTTTCTATTCACTTCAGAATAGTTGTGCTCTCTTAAGCTAATTAAGCTAGTTGTGCTCTCTTAATCTACATGGCAGAAAATCAGAAATGGTAGAAGTTCTGATGGCCCTCATTAGTCTTAATGGGTAGTTTTAAGCCAGCAGTGAAAATATTTTATTCACATTGACATATTTAGTTGTATACCAATTTACCTGGTCCAATTTTAAAAGTTTTACTTTGTTTTACCTGTTGCATTGTTTGGCCAGTTGTGCTTTCTTAATAATTTTTTCTATGCACTTCAGAATAGTCGCATATGCTCTATCATTTTTTGGATGTTACAATTGACAATTTCATTTTCTTGGCTCTCAGGGCTGCTTTGTATGCATCATTATTGGTTATTGTGAAGGAGGAGACATGTAAGTGACTTTTCTTGCTAAAACTGCAATACTTGGCTTAATCCGTTTAGTTGGGCTGAAACTTTACATGAAATCTATATGATGTCATCTTTTTTGCTACTTTGTCTTTTACAGGGCAGAAGCTATAAAGAAAGCAAATGGTGTTCTTTTTTCAGAAGAGGTTGTTTTATATTTCTAGTATTTAGTATCACATTTATTTTGTTTCGTTTTTCTTCTCTGTTGTCGCAATCTAGATTGTACTGCATTCTACTTCCCACCTCTGCAGTTTTCAGTTTGTATCAGCTCACAATTTCTTTGTTCACTGATACATTGATGTTAAATTGTTTATAGAAGCTGTGTAAATAGCTTGTTCAATTGCTTATAGCTTGTTCAATTGTTTTCTTTCTTTAATAGTCTTGAGAGGTGTCAGTATTTTGCTGAATCACCATTGATTAATCCTGTTGCAGGTGATTTTGGACTTGCTAAGATGTTGACATCAGATGATCTTGCATCCTCCGTAAGTCTTGTGGTTAACGTAACTGGTTCATTTTTCAAGTTTCAACATTTGCATTAGTTTTATTGTTCAAGATTTCTTTTTCGTAACTCAGGTTGTAGGAACTCCAAGTTATATGTGCCCTGAGCTTCTTGCTGACATACCTTATGGCTCTAAGTCAGACATTTGGTCCTTGGGTAAGTGTATACACAAATGTCACATAAATACATATATAAGTTATAATGCAATCATGAATGCAAGTTGCAACTTGGCATATTTGTAGTTTATCTAGCTGAATGTACACTTACGGATCTTATGCTTGTATTATCAGGATGTTGTATATACGAAATGACTTCTCATAAGCCTGCATTTAAAGCATTTGTAAGTTTCAAGAACTCTGTTTCCTCTGTTTCTGACAGAATTATGTGGTAACGCTTTGTGAGTATCCTGTGGTAAATGTTCTGTTAGTTGGTACTGAATATAGTTGAAACTGACCATGGATATGGCTATATGGATATGGCTATTTTGCTATGTAACTTTGTGAACAATACGTGTGATAGGGTCATATAAAAACATGATTCATAATTTTAAATGCAATATATATTTCAGTTTACAAAATGGGGCTCAAGTATTTTTGCCATTTTGTGACACAAGAAGGCTCATTTCTGTATCAGATTTTGGGAACTCTGTCTCTCTTGTTGGTTATATTTGGTTTAATTTTGTGGCAGTATGCACATTGTGCTGTTGTGAACTTTGCCTTGTTGAGGGAATTCATTTGTTGCCTGCCTTTAGTACTCACAAGTTGTGTGACTTGGTAGACATTTTGAAAACTATAGGTCAAACAGTAATTTCTGAAAAGTTGGGGGGGAGGGTGGGGCTGTCCCTCATCCAATGCTAGCTCTGCTTTTGTCAGTTTGTGTGAAAATGTTTGGTCTTATGGAGGTGAGGTAGGGATAAAATCTTGTTTTTTTGGCTGGGTCCTAGCCTCGATTGTGGAGGCTCAGGCGACACAACCATTAAATAGATACATTGCCTTCTGAACATCTGGTATCATTGATCTGCACTAGTGAAAGGTCTTTTATTATTTTTCCTTTTGGCTCTTTCTGAGAAACTGCAGAACCCATGGTATTCTTTTTGGCAAGTATTATTGAAAATACTGTAATACACTGGATGGTTTGACTTTGAGCAACATAAAATTGCTATGCTTATGCTTTTGGTTTTGGGACAGGACATGCAAACGCTGATCAACAAAATAAATAAGTCTATTGTGGCACCACTTCCAACCAAATACTCTAGTGCATTGTGAGTCATTTTCCTTGTGTTACGTAATTATTGTGGCTGTTCATGCAATATCTTTCTTGTTATCTTGGTTCTTCTAGTTTGTATATTTGGGGACTCTCTTGTGCCTTACACCATTAGAGTTGATGTATGGCAACTTATTGAAAAGATAAGATAGTGTAAGAGGATAACAAAAGATGAATGAATATCCTAGTTTTTTATGCCTATGAAATTTTAGATTTTTCCTTGTGAGGAGTAGTGTTCTTATTTGTATATTGTGCCCTTTAATTAGTGTCTTAATCTAATCTTTGCTCTATTTCTGTTTTCCAGTCGGGCCCTCATCAAAAGCATGCTGCGGAAAAATCCAGAACTTCGGCCGAGTGTATTTCCTGTTCTTTATTCTTTTTTTTACACTTTACGAAAATGTTTTTCGTAGGAGAAGCATTAATATAAGCATATGAATGATTTGCCATGGCCTTAGATAATCTAAATGATTCCTAATTCATTAAATAGGACTCAGCTAGTTGTGGTTGTTATAGCTAATATATTGCCATTCATAGTCATCGGCATAAGCCTTTTCTAGTAAGTTTCACTAATAATTTTAAATCCCTGTAATGTGTCTTCCAAAATTCTAAGCCAAGACGCGTTTAAGGTACTTATTGGTTTTATATTTCAATTGGATTTAACTTTTGGAATGTATATATATGAATTAAGAAATAAACATATATTTGCTATGCTGTTGTTTGTCTGCAAAGAAAAAGCTGAAAATAATATTTGGTAGATTGCAATGCAAAAATGATATTGTACTGCAAATAGAGAAGCATGACTTTGTTTGTAATCATCATGGTAACTGTAAGGATAGTAGTCATAGGTCCTTGATGGTTGCTGTGGTTCTAGATGTGATGGGTGTGTCAATAGTGAAGTGCCTGTGGTAGTATGGAATAGAGTGGTAATAATGATGTGATGTGTTGTATTGCAAATGGCATCAATAGATGTGTCATGGTGATCCTGGTAATGTAGCTTTGATATAGATTGACATGTATGGCTGTTTCATAACCTCTATGGTGGTGATAGTAATCAACGATTTTATGGTTGTAGTATTATGAGGAAAAAAAATCAGGGTTAGGCCATTGATGGTGGTGGTAATAGAACTATTTGTCTCAACTAAATGCAATTTTTTGTATTTTTGCTTCCAAAAATTTTTGCTCTTAATTCCAATGCCAAATATGAGTTTTTCTTGCCCCTCTATTCTTTTTACAAAATCTATTGTTTTTTTTAAAAAGCTATCCAAATACTATACTAAAGGGCCTTTGTGGTCTCAAAAGCAAAGTTCTTTTTAGTTTGGCTCTCAAAACCAAGAAAGTAATTTCAGAGTACTTAAATCAGTAAATCACATGGCACGATTTGGATAGCAAATTGGAAGTGTCCAGAAGCTCTGAAAGAAGGTTGACTGCCTTCTAGTGTTTTTCCTTTATTTGTTTTGGGTTTGTCTATTTTTTGAGACTTTAATTGTGTTTGTTTGCAGGCAGCAGAGCTTCTAAGGCACCAACACCTCCAGCCTTATGTTCTGAAGGTTCATCTCAAACTTAATAGCCCCAGGCGCAACAGCTTACCAACCCATGGGCCTCAAGCTGACTACATAAAGAAAACTAGACTTGTGGAGCCAGAAGATATTCCTGTTTCCACGTACAAAGAAAAATGGCATTCATTCGGCAATGACAGGACTTTGAATCCAAATATTACTGGAGCTGAGCGAGATTCCTCTTTTTCTCAGAGAAATCAAAGCACTCCAAGTTATTTGAATAAAAAGATAGCAGAATTGTCTGTTGAATGCATTCATGAAGAATCGGACTTTGGTAGAAAAATTATTTCAAAGGCTTCAAATTTTGCTATGACTCCAAGATTGACTCCGACAAAAGATTCTCCCACTCCTAAGAAGCGAGCAGAACTTTCAAAGAACCGAGTATCAGTAAGTTACAATAAACTAATCAATTTTATCTATTTTATTATATAAAGCACACAACTCACTTTGGCACAACATGAACGACTTTTGAAGCTTTGTCACTTTTTACATGCCTAAACTACCCATAAAACTAACAGGTTCTTTCTTCTCTCTTTGATAATAAGGGTAAAACAGTAACATGTCTTTTGAAAAAGCCCACTTAATTCATGATGGGAATAGTTCTAACTATCGATTTGGTTACAAAGTCTCTCGCTATATTGTTGGTAAAATCATAGCATTTTAGTTTTAGAAGAATTTAAATAGTAAGTTCAGAATGAGGGATTTTTTTGTGTGGGGGAAGTGGAGATAAATAAGTGTAGTAAAATGCACACATGTAGTGTGTGGAGACATTTCTAGTACTTATTAATACATGCATGTGCGTCTTTGTGCGTGTGTACATGTTAGTACATTTCTAGTTCCTATGAATAGCCAAGGTGTTATCTTTATTGACACACTTTACTCTTTTTGTTAGGGCTGGGTTAAGCTCTTGCACAACTATGAAAATCTTGTATGTCTAGAAAGCAAGATCCAATAAAGAAAAAATAAAAAAATAAAGATAAAGGCTACGCATAACAATTTGCATGAAAATGCTTGTTCATTTCAACTGAGTTTACAGAAGGATATGATATTGAAGGTAGGAAATAATTTTCCTTGAATATGTCTAGCTTTCTATTGGATTGGATTGGTGTACGGTAATTGGTACTTGTAATGAAAAATTGAACTTCGTTAACTAAACAAGTTCTAAACTAAATTGATTCGAAACTTGTAGTAGGTTAGACTTAATTGTAAGTAAATTGATGAGTCACTGACATACGATGATAAAATGATATCTTTTGCTTTAAACTAAGAAGCATAGATATTAGATACACACGGCACGACACATACACACTGACATGCAAAATTTTTAAAATTGGTTGGACATGATACATGAGGGACACAAATATATATTTATTATATATTATATATATGAATATTTTATTAAAGCAGCAGCTTATTTGTGGGCTTATTTTACAATTTTGGAGCTTTGAAACTGCAATTTCTCCATTTTTTAAAGGTTGCATTCTTAGATCTTATATGCTTGCACTAGCAGTTTCCAGCTTCGCAAAAACCAGAAAAAAAATCCGTTCATGCAAATCGCAGAGCATCTTTGCCATTGCCGATGAGATCCAATCCCTGTGTCAATAGTGAAGTGCAAAATGTTCCAATTTCTAAAATTTTGGTTTGCATTATCATTGAGATGTCAGCCCAAAAAGGCATCATCTGTAATTTCATTTCACAATGACCAGCAGCTCTTACGTTTCCATCCCAATTTTTCAGTTGGACCCTTGTTCAAACATCATATTCCATATCACTTAAGGCAAGCAAAACTCAAACAGATGTTGTACAAGTAAATAGGATTTGAGACTAGTAGATCATGCATCATCAATGAGTAATGATTCAAATGCAAGTTATGAGGTCAAATGCTTTCCAATAAAATCACCTCAGAAACAAGTGGTCCTGGGAAGGGCACTTATGTGCCAAGGTGAGTAAGATTTCAAAGTTCAAGTCAATGGAGAAAAGTTGGCCTGCATTGTAATCTAAGTAACATACTAACAGCTATCTTGTGCCAAAAAAAAAAAAAAATACAAAAACTTTTACGAGTTCAAAATACAAGCCTTCCTTTCAAATTCAGACTGAAAAGAATCAGAGAAATATGCAGAGGGTGTACGGGAAAGAAATACACCTTCTTGTATAATCCTGTTGACTAAGTCTGCGTTCCTCCATACGACGTCGCTTTATCACCTGAAAACACAAACGTGAGCTAGCCGGCGGGTGTGTGCCGGAAACCCCTCTGATGCCTAAGTCAGCAAACTTGACAAATAGACAAAGCTCTGTGTATTCAGAAAGCAAAGTTGTGTGTTACCTTCTCCCAGGTGATGTTTGTGAGCTTTTATAAGTTTCATGTGGCACAATCCTAGTAGGACTTCTACTCCTCCATGCAGAGTCCTCCTAGGATTCATACTCCTGAAAGATAATGCTTATCCTTTCAACATCCCCCTCACTGCTTAAACCAAGTGAGATGGTTTTTACCATGGCCGAACTACCACATGACCGAAATAATACTGGCTATGCTGAGCCACAAAGTAGGCCGAACTATTCTTAGTTCGGTTCTTCTTTTTACTCCTCCTTATCTCGGTTCTCTCCTGTACAACCCATGGTGTGTTTAGACCGAACTAACTCCAAGACCGGTCTAACTCCAAGTCGCTTCCGGACCGGAGTAACTTTACATGTATCTTTGGCCGGAGTAATTCTGGACCTCTCTTGGGCCGGAGTAACTTTTACAGCCTTTTTTACTCAGCCCTTTGTATTGTGGGCCACTATGACTATCTTATAGCTCGGCCCAATTTTCACCAAAATTACCCTCTCAATTGCCCCTTAATTCCATCTGCACAGCATGATTGGGATTACCTGTCTATCAGCCGAGCCGAAGTTTTTAAGCCTTCCCAGCCGAGCTAAAAAACCCCTTTAGCCTCTCCAGCCGAGCTAGAAACTCTTTAGCCTTCCGGCCGAGCTAAAAAACCCTTTAGCCTTTGCAGCCGAGCTAAAAAACTCTTTAGCCTTCCGGCCGAGCTAAAAAACCCTTTAGCCTCTGCAGCCGAGCTAAAAAACTCTTTAGCCTTCCAACCGAGCTTATTTTCACTCCGGGCTCTGTTTGTCCGGTCAAAACGTCCCTTCAATCATAGCGACTGTAACGCTTCCCATTCCAATGACACGTGGTATACTCTGATTGACAAAGGACGGCTGTCACGCCGTCTTCGTATTTCGTGAAATTTGAACAGTTTCCGCTCTTTTACTTTCGTCCTTTTCACAAAACAGCCCCCCTGTCCTTGTATCATTCATCTATACTATTCTTCGTCTTCTCTTTCTATGCCTCTACCTCTTCAACTACCAAGCTCGTGTTCTTCATTGCTACTACTGTTTCCATCTCCAGTTCCCTCATCTTTAATCTGGTAAGCAAATCCATTCTTCTTCCTCTGTTTTGCTTTCGTATCTGTATATTTTGTTTTGTGTGCTTTTTGCAAACACTTTTTCTATCTTGCTTTGCTCTGTACTATTATGAAAAAAAAAAACTTTAATAGTAGAACACATGAGCATATGATACATCCTGTAGAAAACTAGCTTTTGATCCATAATCATGATGCAACCGAACTAGGATGTTGTTTAAGCTAAGTAGAAGGGTAGTTGGCTTACAACCGGACTAATACTTCATGTTTACCCCAGTAACTATAAATAAGAGACCAATTCTTGATAGACCTTAGCCGAACTAGAACTCGTAGAAATAACAGTAGTTTCAGCAAGTTACCAACTCCTGATTCATTTTAGCCGAGATAAGCTCACCGAACAAAGTTTGAACTCATTAAACCAGGAACCTCAGTCTTCAACCGAGCTAAGCCTTTGGGGCTAAGCCAGCTTTCTTAGTTTCTAAACCAAACTCAGAAAGCTGCCCCTAGAGGCTCAACTGAAGTAACAAAACTCGTTGCTCAAACCGAGATAACCAACCTTACTAGGTTTGCACTTAGTATACTGAAATACCTGAACACCAACCGATTTAGGCCTTTGGGGCTAAACCAGCTTTCTTAGTTTTTTAGACCGAACTCAGAAAGCTGCCCCTAGACGATGAACCGGTCTAACAAAATTGTTCCCAAAGCCAGTATGCCGAGAAGCTTGCCAAGATTAGGCTAATAAAAACCCTGCTCAAATCGAGCTACCAATCACCCTTGCTTTTATTTTGTAGCACCGTCCAATGATCTGTGCTTAACCCCTTTGTTTTCTACTTTGCAGACTTAGGTTGCCCAGGCACTCCTCCGTGCGCTCAACTGTGCTTAACCCCTTTGTTTTCTACTTTGCAGACTTAGGTTGCCCAGGCACTCCTCCGTGCGCTCAACTGAGCTACTGAGTACAACTTTTGCACCGATCTAAATTATTCATAATTTATGCAATAAATGGGGAAGTATAGGCATCTAGTAGACACTCCAGGCGGCCTAGCCGAATTCAGAAAAGACTACAATATACCCGAAGACGTCCACCTGTCTTTAGCCGAAAAAGATGTCATTCCTTGGGATAATGAAGGCTTTGTTCCCTTCACCCACTTATCCATTATTGAAACCGGACTACGATTTCCGGTCCAACCATTGATGTGTGAGTTTCTTAGGCAAACCAGACTATGCCCAACCTAACTGTCCACAAATTCCTACCGCATCATAATGGGAATAGCCGAACTGAACCGTTAAGCCGGACTAAACCTTGGCCTGGCCGAAATCTTCCACCAATACTCCATTGGTTCAAAAGAAGATGGGTGGGTCTACTATTTAAGAATACGACGTCGCCGAGAGAAGATAATAAAACACACACCGGATAAAGACTTAAACGACGATGATTTTTTCTGGGTGTCTGGGAACTTTGAGGATCATCAAGCCCAGATTCCTGGCCGACGTATAAATTGGAAAAAAGGAGAGCCCGGTATACTTACTTCGGTTTTCTTGCTTGCTTTTTTATATTTCGGTTTTTTAATCTTTCAGCCGAACTAACAGTTGTCTTTTTTTGCAGATTCTGCCCACCTCCATTCCTTATACAGCTACCCAAACCTAGCAACTTTGCGCGCCACACTACGTTATCCAGAACGTAGTTGGGCCAAGCTGCTCAAATTCGAGCCGACCTACAGATACAACGGTCGCCGAAGAGCCAGAGTGACCGATTTTCTTCTTGAAGACGCACCAAAGCCGGACCCAACCTTACCACAAATCAGACTAATTCCACTAACTGCTGAAGAGGAGATGGCTAAGAAGAACAGGGTAAGGGCGCTTCTAACCGAAACCAACAGGGCCGAAGTACCACCATCAAGTCAAACCCAAGAAGCGGTAGTGGCCCTTCCTACGCAACAACCGTCCTCATCCCACCGAACCAAGCGCGCCCGGACTACCGAGACTGAACAACGCTTGGTGGTTGAAGACGAAACTATTCTTCCACCGAGCCCGCCACCGAGCCCCCAACCGGAGCCTTCTGACCGAACTACCAGTAGCTGGGCACCAAAACTTACCTTCAACGACCGAGATATCCAATACTCTGACTCGGTTGTTGCTGATAAGGACCACCAGTTGGCCTTCAACCTGGCCAAGAGTGTGTGCCTCCCCAAAGATATGGAGCACCACCAAAAGCAACTAAACACCGAACTGAAGGCCATCCGGTCTTCAACAAAATCGATGATCCTGGTAAGTAGCTTCGTCCATTTTTCAGTCTAGTTTTTTTTCAACTTTTACTTCGGCTCAAGGGAAGTCTTTGTTTTGTCAGGCCATTCAGAAAAACAACATTACTCATAGGAAAGTGTTAGAGCTCAGGAAAACAACAAGGCAAGCCGTGGCAGAAGCCGACGTGAAGACGGCCGAGCTAGAGGAGGCCAGCAAGCAAATGGCCGAGCTACGAGCTGAGAACGGCTGACTGGCCGGACTGGTTAGTTCGGCCAAAGCAGAAAAGCAGAAGGCTGCCATTGCTCTAAAGGATAAGTATTTACGCGAGCTGGTGAAGCTTGAAAAGAAGAAAGATACCGAGATAACCCAGCTGAAGGAGAGCGCAAAAGGAGCCGAAAAGCAAGGCTTCAAGAAGGCAGAGGATGCTTATATCAAGCAGTGTGAAGCCGCCAAGGAACTGTTCTTCAAGTGCGGCTGGAGGGAAACTGTTGAGAAGCTCGGTCACGACTCCTAGACCGTGGTTTTCAACCCTCCAGCCTACTTCATACCGAACTCCCTAGTGGAGTATGCTGATGTCATGCAGCAGCAATTTCTTGAAGGCTCAAACTCTGACGAAGACTCTGCCTCTGAGGATACTCCGGTTGTCAATGCGGACCAGTCAGTTCGGTTGGAGCCCACAGTGGAAGACCTGACTATTGAACTACGAGGTGAAACCGGCGTTCCGACCGAAACCACCCTTGTGACCGAGAGCGAGCTCCCTCCTGAATCCTGAAACCGGTCTTCGTGTTGATGCCGATGCTGCGTTCGATGCCGAAATTGATGATCTTTTCTCTTGATTTTGTACTTTTTTCTTTTTTGTTACTTTTTGTCTTTGTAACCGGGCTATGCCCCTCCTTTGTAATTTCCTTTCAATGAATGAAAATTTGTTGAACTCTTACTTCGGTTGATTTGT